TGCCACTTACATACAGATTCAATTTAAGACCCCCAGGCGTCCCCAAGTCAGCTGCTGCTGAAACTGATCAGCGGCTGATTCCAGGAAGCCCAGGGCAGAACAGCTCTGCCTCGGGCTTCCTGTAGTCAGCCGCAGATCAGTTTCAACAGCGGCTGAATCTGGACGCCAGTTCTGACTTGCATACAAATTCAATTTAAGAACAAACCTACAGTCCCTATCTTGTATGTAACCCGGGACTGCCTGTACATTGTTCTGGGACCTCCTGTAGTTTGTGATGTCATAGCCTAAGGCCGTGGTCACCAACCAGTAGATCGCGATCTACCAGTAGATCTCAGGGGCTCTAAGAGTAACTCTTGAGCCCTCCCTGAACTGCGCAATACATTTACATTAGATTTCTTCATGTAATGTAGGCGGGGCTTCAAGGAAGGGGCGGAGCAGTAGATCTTCGCCTGTTCTGAGACTTAAAAAGTGATCTTGGGTGTAAAAAGGTTGGAGACCACTGGCCTAAGGCATGCTGAATTATTGTGTGCATAACACAGACCAGTGAGGATTTCAGAGGAGAGCTAGGTAAGAGGGGTAGACAAGAAACCATGACACAGAGAAGAGCTGGATACTGCCAGCTTGTTTATGGTGTGTGTGTTGCATAGGGAGGGACAACACAGCTGGACTTACTAGAGATTTTTGTAGAGCAGAGCACTGAACTTGCCCTTAGGGAGCAAAATTTTGTAACCTTTAAGGAATTTTTCACATGCTTGATAGGTTCTAATCACTTATGTGAAATCATAGGGCTGGAAGAGACCTCAGGAAGTCATTGAGTCCAGCACCTTACCCGCAGGACCAATCCCAGCTAAATCATCCAAGCCAGGGTTTGTCAAGCTGAGACTTAACTGCTTTGTTAGTTTGTCTTAACAGCTATGAAGGTTATATCTAAGTGTAAAGTTTCCTATGTGCCCTTCTGTGAAGGGGTCAAGGTGGACCTTGTAAAGGGTTCGATCAGAGACTGTCTTGAGACTGTCACTTGGTTTGCTGAAAATATCCCTGAGCCTGCTTACCTGCCCTCTGGAGCACCTC